TTAAACCAAGATGTGAATGGTAGAACTGTTTGAGGGTTTGGCCCCAAATCAACCTTATTTAACTTAGTTTGATTTAATTATTGTTTTATTAATTTTCCTTGAAGTTACTAACTCATTTATTATTTTATAGTTGCAAGCAAACAGAATCAAAGTAAGAATTATGTTTCTTTTATTTCAATTATTTTTCTAACGATTTTATATTGTTGGATTCATTGTTAAATTGCTTCCTATATTAATGTTAATTTTATTATATTTGTTGATCACCATATTTCATGTCTAAAGAAAATATTTAATTGAAAATCACGCCTAATAAGATAATTTGGACGACTGGTTTAGGATCCTTTTTAATTTTATTGTTTAATCAAGTGATCACTATTATTTTAGAATAATGTGTTGCATTAATATTAAGCCAATTTAGCATAATAATAGTTTGGAGCAAATTGAATATTTTTTTTGTATGTCTTTGAGATTGCAGGAATCACTTTTCACTATAAGAATCTAGTAGAGGCCAATACGGGCGAATGTGACTACATGACTCACTTCGTACCATCAATCCCAATCCTCCTTTTGTGGTTTCGAACCATATAGAGGTATTAATCTCGGGGATTATGATTGGGATGTAACCTTCATGGCTCAATAGTTGTTGCCTTCGTTGTCCCTTATTCGTGGTTGCCTTAAATGATCCGTGAATGGTTTACAAGTTCCTTAAAAACTTGTTGGCGGCTCCCTACTTTCCTTGTCCCTAATTTTATATGTCAATTCCCACTTCCTATGAGTGCCAAGCATATTCACAACATGCTTTTAACGTAGGCACACTTCAAACGACGCCTACACACACTGTGTAATGTAGTTTTGAACTACATTGTTTAAATGAGTAAAAGATCGTATCATTATTCGAGGTTGAGTACAATGTGTAATGTAGTTTTGAACTACATTGTTTAAATGAGCTAGTAATGTTGATTGATCTATTCGTCTTGGTATTCTGATATGTGGTGATTACTTAACTTTTTGCTGACGTGTGTGTTGTTTTGTTCTGCTAACTGTGTTTGCGTCATGTCTTTTTTTTTTATGGTGGCCTTGCGACGATCTATTTTGGAATTTGTCCTTAATGGTGAGCAGTTAAATTTATCTAAGCAGGTTGATCAAGTGATCATAGCTAAAGGAGCTCAAGTATTTCACCTTGCGACTATATATTGAATGAAACAATAACTAACATTTACTATAAATCCCATACAAAATAATACACTATAATGCGCATAAGATGCTGCCTCGTTAAAAACCTTACCAGGAAAACCAAGTGGGAAAAAACCATGGTTAAAAAAAAAGTGCAGCGCGCATTAACTCCCCCTCATGACTACATCACTTGAGATCTTTAAGACGATACAATCCAATGCCGTAAGCTAACTTTTTGAATGTTGATGTCGGAAGAGCCTTAGTAAATAAGTTTGCTAAATTCTCACCTGAACGAATCTGCAATACATTTATATCTCCATTCTTCTAAAGATTATGAGTGAAGAAAAATTTGGGTAAGATGTGCTTTGTTCTGTTGCCTTTGATGTATCCTTCCTTAAGTTGAGCAACACAAGCTGCGTTATCCTCATATAAAGTTGTTGGTGCCTCTTTCCCAGATGATAAACCACAAACTTCTTTTATATGTTGAACTACCGACCTTAACCATACATATTCACGACTAGCCTCATGAATTGCTAAAAACTCAGAATAATTGGAAGAAGTAGCTGCAATGGTTTCTTTCATGGAACGCCAAGAAACGGCAGCACCACCATATGTGAACACATATCCAGTTTGTGACCTACCATTATGAGGATCAGATAAATAACCTGCATCTGCAAAACCAATCAAATTTTCTTTGGACAACTTTGGGAAAAATAAACCCATATCCTTCATACCTTGAAGGTAACGAAGTAAATGTTTAATCCCATTCCAATGCCTTCGGTTTGGATATGAACTAAACCTTGCTAATAAATTAACAGAAAATGATATGTCGGTCGTGTATGACTTGCAAGGTACATTAGTGCTCCAATTGCAATAAGATACCGTACTTCAGGACCAAGAATTTCTTCATCATTTTCCCGAGGTCGAAATGGATCTTTCTCTACTTCAAGTGATTTTACAACCATAGGGTTGCTCAATGGATGTAATGTATCCAAAGAAAATCTCTTAAGAACCTTTTTTATGTATGTTGATTGATGCACAAGGATTCCATTCTCTAGGTGCTCTATTTTTAACCCCAAGTAGAATTTTGTCTTTCCAAAATCTTTCATTTCGAAATCTTTCTTTAAATAATTGATAGTCACTGAAATCTCTTCAGGAGTTCCAATGATATTCAAATCATCAACATACACTGCAATTATAACAAATCCCGATCCAAATTTCTTTATAAAAATACATGGGTTGATAGGATCATTCTTATAACCTTCTTTCAACAAATATTCTCTTAGACGGTTATACCACATACGCCCAGATTGTTTCAATCCATAAAGAGATTTGTTTAATTTAATACAGAAATGTTCTCAAGAACTAGATTTTGCTGCTTCTGGCAGCTTGAATCCTTCTGGGAGCTTCATGTAAATGTCATTATCCAGTAGGCCATATAAATAACCGGTGATTACATCCATCAAACGTAAGTCAAGTCCTTCTCTTATTTCCAGACTAATCAAAAATCTAAAAGTAGTTGCATCCACCACAGGAGAATATGTCTCCTCATAATCAATACCAGGTCTTTGTGAGAATCCTTGTGCAACTAAGCGTGCCTTATATCTTACAACTTCACCCTTTTCATTTCTCTTTCGCACAAAGACCCATTTATATCCCACTGGCTTTACACCTTCAGGTGTACTGACTACATGTCCGAATACTTCTCTTTTTCCAAGAGATTTGAATTCTGCTTCAATTGCTTCTTTCCATTTTGGGCAATCATTTCTTTGTCTACATTCTTCAATGGATTTTGGTTCATAATCCTCATTATTATCCATAACATCTAATGCTACATTGCATGTAAAAACATCATGGACGTCGATTTGATTTCAATTTCATGTAATTCCTGACATGATATAATTTATTGAAATTTCTTCATTATCAGGTACCTGAATTTCTTCTTGTATCATGTCTAAAGTCTCTTCTGGAGATCCTTGGAAAATTATTTCTTCAATTTGACCATCATCAATCAATGCTCCTTTTCTTTTCCGAGGATTCTTATCTTTGGAACCTATTGGTCTTCCACGTTTTTGACGTGGTTTAGACTCATTAGCAATTTTATTTTGTCCTTCCGGGACATCAATTTTAAATGGAGCATTTATAGATGGAATATGTGACTTGGTCACTCTTTTAGGGTCAGCAAACGAGTCTGGCAATTGATTCGCTAAACTTTGTAAATGAATTATCTTTTGAACTTCCAGTTCACATTGTTTAGTTCAAGGATTAAGATAGGATAATGATAATTCATTCCGTTTAATTTCCTTTTCCAGTTCTCTCTTTTCTCCCCCTAATGTTAGGAAAAGTGACTCGTTAAAATGACAATCTGCAAAACGAGCCGTAAATAAATCCCATGTTGTACGTAGGCTCAAGATATTTCATTATTGACGGGGATTCAAACCCAACATATATCCCCAACCTCCTTTGAGGACTCATTTTAGAGCGTTGTGGTGGAGCTATTGAAACATAAACCGAACATCAAAAAATTCTTAGATGGGAAATATTTGGTTCCTAACCATAAACCAATTGTAATAGGCAGAACATGTGATAACTTGTTGGCCTAATGCGAATTAGTGCTGCTGCATGTAATATAGCATGTCCCCAAGCAGAAATTGGGAGATTGGATTTCATAAGCAATGGTCTAGCAATTAACTGAATACGTTTTATTAATGACTCTGCCAGACCGTTTTGTGTATGAACATGTGCTACATGATGTTCAACATTTATCCCAATGGACATGCAATAATCATTAAAAACTTGAGATGTAAATTCACCAGCATTGTTAAGCCGAATAGTCTTAATGGGAGTATCGAGAAAATGTGCCCATAACTTAATCAATTGGGCAAGTAATCTTGCATACGCCAGGTTATGAGTTGATAACAAAGACACATGTGACCATTTAGTTGATGCATCATTTAAGACCATAAAATATCTAAATGGTCCACATGGGGGATGTTTGGGCCCACAAATATCTCCTTGTATACGTTCCATAAAACTAATTGATTCAAAATTAATTTTAGATGGTGATGGGCGAATAATCAACTTGCCTCTTGAGCAAGCAGCACATGAAAAATTATTATGAAGAATCTGCTGGCTCTTCAAAGAATGTCCACATGAATTCGTAATTATTTTTCGCATCATTATTGAACCAGATGGCCTAACCGGTCATGCCAAACAACAAAATTATCAGTAAACTTCAGGTTTACTATAGCATGAGCTTGAATAGCATTGATATTTGTGTAGTACAAACCACTGGAGAATGTAGGTAGTTTCTCCAAACATGTTTTGAGCCTTGAGTTATATTTGTGATTTGAAGGAATTTGTTATTTTCTTCATTGATTGTCTCAATATGATAACCATTGTTGCGAATATCCTTAAAACTTAATAAATTTCTTAGAGACAATGGGTAGTATAAAGCATCAATTATTTTAATTTCAATTCCCCAAGGCAATTTTATAGTGGCTCTTCTGGAGCCCTCAATGATATTCCGGAGTATTGTATGAGTAGTTGCACTGTCAGCAAGACATAATTCCTCACCATTCAAAGCAAATTGAACTTGAGTAATATCCATGTTCTTCATGAAATAAAATACATGTCAAAATATTAAGCATAAAAATAAAGATGATAAAATAAATAAATTATAAAAACACTCAAATAGTTCATAAATTTATAAAGCAAAAGTCCTTATTACAACGAAAGAAATAAAATTTAGTAAATCACTTGAATAAGCAAACATAAGTCTAAAACTTAAAACTGACACAAAACAATATAATTTTTATTATTTTTTTTTAGGCAATGAAGAAATCAGCAACTTCTAAACGAGTTGTACTGCAAAAATCAAAATCATTCCCTTCTAGGGAAGTAAGGAAATCAGCAACATCAAATTTATTGGTATTGCCAAAATCAAAATCACCTTCACAATCTTCAAAAACAAGGTTTGCCTCAATTTTCTTTCCTTTCTTCAATGATTCTTGGTAAAGTTCAATACGATGCTTTGGGTTTCTACAAACCCGAGACCAATGACCTTTTCCTCCACAACAGTAACATATATTGGTATCACTTTTCTCTTTATCATCCCGACATTCCCACTTCTTGTGGCAATGTGAGTTTGTGAAATGACCTTCACGACTTCCACCATATCCACGTCCACGACCCTGGCTGCACCATTGGCCACGAGCGCGACCTCTACCTCGATCACTACTGCTAGAATGGTCTTTGTTTGTAGTTTCTTTCCCGTTATGGGTTGTCACATTCGCTTCAGGGAATGGAGTAGAGCCAGTAGGATGTGATTCATGATTTTTCATTAACAGCTCGTTATTTTGCTCAGCCACAAGAAGACAGGATATTAATTCAGAATATTTTTTAAAACCTATTTCTCTATATTGTGTCTGTAGGACAATATTATTAGCATGGAAAGTGGAGTATTTCTTTTCAAGCATTTCTGCATCAGTAATATTTTCTCCACATAATTTCAATTGAGAAGTTATTTTAAACTTAGCTGAGTTATATTCACTAACAGATTTAAAATCTTGCAACCTCAAATTTAACCATTCATAACGAGCTCTAGGGAGTATCACTGTTTTTTGGTGGTCATACCTTTCCTTTGATTACTCCAAAGGATTTGTGGGTCTTTCATAGTTAAATATTCATTTTTGAGCCCTTCATGGAGATGATGGCGAAGGAAAATCATGGCTTTAGCCTTATCTTGAGGTGTTGCCTTATTATCCTCTTTGATTGTTTTACCAATCCCTTTAGCATCTAGGTGTATTTCAGCATCTAACACCCATGATAAATAATTCTTTCCGGTAATATCAAGGGCCACAAATTCGAACTTGGCAAGGTTCGACATTTTTCACTATACAAAATAATATTAAAAGATAAGTATATATAAATAGTATCCAAAATATGTACTAAACGTTATAATCATGCATAAATAAACCTTATACAAATCATGCATAAATATGAACGAAATAGAAGATGAGAAAGTTAGCATGGAGAAAAATAAGAATGGAACCTTAAATTATATATCATGCTCTGTATTTGTTATATATGTTGATATTCTAATAAATAAGCATGCAAAAGTAGATAAATGTTAAATTATAATTGTTATGGGATGCGATCATACTTACATGATAATAATAATATGAGGTTCTAGATAAATAAATGTTTGGTAATCCTACTTAGTTGACTAGCAACGGTGCCTATAACGTGTTAAATATGGAAGAGGAAAATATAGAGAGATGAGGGAAGATTGTTACGTTATATTTCATATTCCATCTAGTACGGGATATTATACATTACCTAGGGTTCCATCAATGGATAAGACAAAATACCCAACTCTAGAGTATTCTAGATAATACATGGGATAATAGTCATCCACAATAGATATTTTCATAACAAGTCTAATTTAGTTTGGTCCATAATAAAGGTCCAATATTAGTGTAGTTGGATTGGGCTTGAAAAGAGCTTTCCAATGATATATTATAGGCTCAATTTCGATGACTTGTGAGGAAGTTATGGATTAAATTAGATTAGGCCCAATGATTTTCAAGGTGGCCCGATGATCTAGAGGAGGGCCTATTAATTATTATTTTAAAAGAATGTTTTATTTAGAAAAAAAATATTAAATCTGATTTTGAAAACTACTCGGACGCATGATAACCTGCAACCGGTGTTGAAGGTAATTACAAGTGGAAAAGCGCGTTGACTTTTGGACCAGTACGTGCTAGACGACGGAGTCTTCACCAGGCGCTGACCTTTGTCGCCTAGCGTTGGCCTTCGTCGCCTAGCGACGAGATTCGTCGTTAGGCGCTGGCTCCTGTCGTTTGCGACGGAAGGAGTTTTATTTCGAATATGATGTTCTTTGATCCTGTGCTATTTTTCTTATAAATAGGGGTCGCATCTCCCTCTTCTATAATCATCAACATCTATAATCTACATCTCTCTTTCTCTCTCTCTAAAAGCTAGAACCTTTCCCTCTCTCTTTTCTTTTTCTAAACCTTTCCTCTTAAAAAAAAACCCTCATACATTAGCTTTAGAAACACGTAACCAAGTTCGAAGTTGCCTTCGCCCTAGACGTAAAAGGTTTGATAATTCTGAGTGTTTGGTCCCAAATCCCTATTTTAATTTTTTAATTTTATTGTTTTCGTTTATTATTTTCGTTAAAGTTACTAACGTGTGTATTTTGTTATTAGAAAGAGATACGAGGCATTAAAGTAAGTACTTAAATTGTTTAATTATTCTTTTGATATAGAAATCATGCTTAGATTTTTATTTTGATTCCTATTTACATGTTAGGATGTCTTTATTACTTCCTAGTTTCATGTTTAGGGATAATTAAATTTCTAATATTAAGTATGATTAAAAGAATGTGATATGTCCATTTTATATAATATTTTACCCCCGTCCCTAGGTAAAATATTAGTAGTGTTTTGGGCTCTTTAGACCCACTTTTCTTACTAATTGGTGTTTTCTAGTGTTTTCGTAGTTTTGGTTGACTTTTGTAGGGATTTGCACTTTTGGAGCATTTTCCTGGGATATTATGAAGTGACTACGAGCATTGGAGGCGCACGACCAATTTTCATAGCCCAGGGTCGGTTAGAGTCATCGAACGGTGATTAAGGGCCTAGCTTTTGAGATTCTGAGGCATTTGGACCGAGTACTCAAGACCTGAAGAGGAAATCCGGTTTGGGCCGAAGAATCGAAGCCCAATCAAAGTCCAAACTTTCCCAAGTGTTTGGGCCCGGCCAAATTAGCTCCCGCCAGAAGGCGCGCCCGGCCGGGTGATGAAAATTAGTTTGCGCCTGAGTTCGCGCCCAGTCGGGTGCGAGGTTTTTATGAGCTGAGTTTGGTGATTTATCTTAGTTTTAATTAGGAGTAATTATTATTGGTATAAATACGATTTTAATGTTTTTGTTTAGGACTTTATATCTTACACTTCCTCTCTCTACTTAGTTTTAGATTATTTTCTCTCTCTACGACTTTGTTCTCTACTTTGTTCTTAATTCAACTCCTTAATTCTGATTACTTTGGTAACGATTTCTTTTACTTTAATCTCAGTTATTTACTTTTTTCTTTCATCATATCTTCTTTAATTGCTAAGGTTGTTTATATTTAATTATGTCTGAGTAGTTTTCTTTCTAGGGTTTATGGGGATCCATAAATAATATGAAGGGGTAATTTATTGTTGATGATTGTCAATGCTAGATTAGTTTCCTTTTGATTGATTTAATGCTCTGTGACTAGATTAGGCCTGATCTTTTATGCATGAGTTTGACAATATTGATTCGAGATTCGTGAGATGAGAATTGATGTTCATGTCTAGTTTCAATAGGCAAGTTAATTTATAAATGGTTAAGTCGAGTTTCGAGAGATGAGATTTAATACCGGTAGATTAATTCTGTGATTGTAATAAGTAGCGAGAGCCCTTTATGATCTTATTAATTGATGCATTGATGATTGATTGTTATGTTTTACCCTGGAATATTATTTATTGGTGAACCTATGCCCTAGGTCTTTTATCCCTTGATTATCTTCCTACTTTTATTCCTTCCCATTTTCACTCCTAGTAGTTTAGTTCCACTTTTTAATAACAAATTGGTTACATAATAATTTAGATTGCTTTAATTAATTAGGAATTGAAAGACAAGTTTCCCTGTGTATTCGACCTTACTTCCCTATCTACATTAGTTAGAGGATTTAGGAATTACTTTTGATTGGGTGATACAACTTTAAGCCTATCAAAATTTGGCGTCGTTGCCGGGGAAACGGTTATATTTTTATTTATGATTTTTTTTTCTGCAGTTTAGGTTATTTCTTATTGTCTCAGAGAACGTCAGTTCTTTGAGGCAAGTCTCATATTTGCTTTTAGTTCTTTGTTTATGCCCAGGTGTTCCAGATCAGGTTATATCCCATTTGATCCTGAGATCGAACGCTCTTTCCATAGACAAAAGAATCTTTACAGGCAAACCCTGGCAGGTTATGGTGATAACAATAATCGCCGGACCCTCCAACTGATTTTAGTGATTCACAGGTATCTTCAGATTCAGAATCAGAGATGGCGGTACCTAAGAAGCTCAGTGATCATTCGCTGCCGATGATTACAGATTTTCCACACCTTACTCCCACTCCGGCTCCTGATGGGGTACAATTCGAGATTAAACCCCAATTTATCATGAGGATAGAAAGGAAGCAATTCAATGGAGCTAAGGATGAAGACCCAAATCTTCATATTGCAGACTACTTTCAATATTGTAATACCATCAGGCAAGCTGGGGTCACAGAGGACCAAATCAGGGAGATTCTCTTTTCTTTCTCTTTATGTGGAAAAGTTAAATTATGGTATAATGGATTAAATAGAACTGCACTTGGTATAACTAACTGGGAAACTCTTGTTTTAAATTTCTATAATAAATATTACCCTGCAGAGGGGACAACTTTTCTAAGAAGTGCAATTCAAAACTTTTTTGCCCAAGAGTCAGATGAGACTTTGTATGAGGCTTGGGAAATATTTGAAGATCTGTAGAGGGAGTGTCCCCACCATAATTTAGCATAGTGGCAGTTAATCCAAGCCTTTTACAACGGGATCAGAAATTCATCTAGAACAATATTGGATTCTACAGCTAGTGGGAGGTTTATGAACCTTAGTGTTGATGATGCAGGTCATGTTACTGAAGATTTGACAATCCCTAATTTCCAATATGGGAATCCTAGAGGCTTTTCTAACAAAGGAAAACATAGTGTCAACTCTGCATCCTTTTTACAAGCTTAATTAACCTCTATTTGCCAAATATTAGATAATCTTAGTACTGCAAATATAGCTAATGTTTCTGCAATTAATAATAATTCTAATGAGGCTTTCTGTGAAAACTGTGGAATTGTAGGTCATTGGGAGCAAGATTACAGGAGTTCCGTGAAGCAAGTCAATGTCTTTCAAGCTTATAGGCAGAATGACCCATACTCCAACACCTACAATCTTAGGTTCCGAAATCATCCATATCTTTCCTACCGGAGCACCAATGTTCTAAATCTGCCACCTCCACAACAAGCACAGGCGCCACAACATCAACAACAGATATATTACCACCCCAATGTTGGCCAAAAGAACCAACCACATCAACCCTCCTCATCTTCTAACCCTGCTTTAGCGGAAATTAGAGCGATGCTGGCTAGTATGCAAAAGCACATGAAGAGTAGAGATGCTCAAATTGATTCGATCATAGCACACAATAAAATTGTAGATAATCTAATTCCGTAGATTTCTGCTACTCTACAAGCCCGTCAACAGGGAGCCCTACCAACACAGCCAACCAGGCCTACGGATTAAGCTTTTGCAATTAATCTAAGGAGTGGTTCACACTATGAGTGGCCCCTTATGCCCAGAGATGATGGACTTGTTTTAAAGAATAATGCTAATCTTGATTCCATTAAACTTGACAATGTTGCTAATAGCCCTATAGGGTACAACTCTAGGGAAGGCCGTAGCTCCAGATAAGAGCAGTAATGCTCCAAAGCCGGTTATCAAACTTCCATTCCCCAATCGTCACCTAAAAGTAGTTTGGTAAGTTTCTAGAGATGGTTAAAGATTTGCAGGTAACAGTTCCCTTCACAGAATTTATTACACAAATTCCTGCATATGCAAAATTCATGAAGGAAATATTGACTAGAAAGAGATCTATTAGTGAGGTAGAGACAGTCGCTTTTACTGCAGATGAAGTATCGTAGTACAAAATAAATTTCCACCTAAACTGAAAGATCCGGGTAGTTTTTTTATCCCTTGTCATATTGGCAATCTAATGATTTATAATGCATTATGTGATTTGGGTGCTAGCGTTAGAGTCATGCCATTGT